ATATATATATATATATATATATATATATAATATCATATATAAAATACGAGTTGTTGTTGAGTATGATATCAAATATTTAACAAGTCACTTGTTGAACGATAAATAAATTTATTCGTAAACATAAATGAATAAAGTTCGATTATGTTCATGCTCACTCTATTTAAGCTTCAAATTTTAAAAAAATTGTTCAAGCTTGTTTATTTATTTATTTAAACAAACATGATCGAGTCACAATTGAGTCGAGTTCAAGTTGTTCATTGAATGCATTGGTCCATTTACAACCCTACCCATGGTTAAGATGAATCTCTCGGATGTGCAAAATAATTTGGCTTGTTTTCTTAAAATTTATTTATCAATTCATCATTGATAAAAATATTAAATAACTATTATAGTAGATAAAAAAGTAAATAAAAAATTAAATATATTTTTTTATTTTTTAATATAAATAAAATATTAAAACATTTTAATATATTTAAATAGGATCTTGACCCCCAAGTGGGTCCTATGCTAGGCTGCTAGCTAGGTTTTAGGATCGCCATAGTAGTCTACAGTCATGGCGGCTTTACCTAAGTATGTTAGTTAGAAGCAATTAGTCGGGCTTGACTAATGCTTCATTTGGAGCAGCTACAACTTATTAAGAAACTGCTGAATAATAATCTGATATTTTAAAAAATTGATGTGACTATTACAATTTGTTTTCTTAAAAAAACTTAGACAAGAGGTAGAAAACTCCTACTACACCTAGTCAGAATCGGTGCGAAAATGCTGGTTTTAGCAGTAGATTTTTGAAAAAGCTGCCAAAGCACAATCTGCTCAAACGACCAAAACAACGATACCGCGCTGCCGCACTGTTGCCCCAAACAAAGCCTAAGGGTCTAGTTGAACAAATTGTTTACGAGTAACATCCAACTTAATAACAGACCTTTAATACACGTGACATCTCCAAAAACTTGGGAAAAAAGAGGCTTTAGCAACTCGAGTTAAGAAGGCCATATGAAGTAGATAAGTTAGTTGATCAAAACTATTACTTATATTATCAAATACTTAGCCACAAAATCAATGATTGTTACATATCTAAAGATTAGGTAAGAAAATAAAGTGTCAATATGAATGATATTCGACTCTCTGATATGCCTCTGACCGTTCATGACTAGCTTTAATTAATTGTATATTTGATTTAATTGTAATATAATTTTGTTTTTTAGGTTTAATTAATTTTCTTCAATTCGAATGAAGTTCAAATTACTTTTAATTTCGAACAAAAAATTGAACAATGACTTCATCAACCGAATCAAATAAACAAATCCATATCCGATAAAACTCAAAATAGTGCTTGCTTTAGTTAAAGTTGAATCGAGTTAAATCCGTTTGACGTGTTATCTTCCAAAGCTAAATCCGCTCAATTCGAAACCCAACCTAATAAGTTGGATTTATTAAATTCAGAGTTACATTGTAAAAGAGACAGAACAGATAGAGAATTAGATCATATTTTTCGTGTTTGGTTCGATTTATGTTAAATCCAAAGAGAAAATCTATGAAAAAAAAGTGCTACCAAACATGTCTTTAATGTTAAAAAGACTATGCTTGTTAATCACAGCGATATGCATCACATTTTATTTTTAAAGTTATTTTTTATGATCGTTTTTATTTTATTAGTATAATTATATTTTGCTCCTATTTCTTAAGAAATGAAGTCCTTTAAGAGCATTTTATACATGGTACTTCATATGATGGTATAAATTTTTTTTTCTTTTACTGCCTTGAATTTGATTTGAAGCTAAATATATTTAAATATCCAATAGATGCGTTTCAGGGAAAATTCTCAAGCATTATAGTTATTCACTAAGAGCTGTAATAAGGGTATGTTTCGGGCAGCGGTGCGGTGTCTAATCGTAGTTTTTTCTGTTTGATAAATTTATGTTTTGTTCGCGTTCTCAAAATTCTGTAGCTAAAAACTGTGTTTTCTCACTAGAACTGACTACCAGCGGTGACTGCTATTAAACTACCGTCTGACTTATTCAAAAACATTTTTTTTTTTTTTGTAATAGTCACCGGTGCTTGTTGAAGAGTAGCTTTTTCTTCAGCAGCTTTATTGCTACGTCTTTAAACAGCTGTAGCAGCTCAAAATATAACCTTAAACCTAATAAAATTAAGATCTTCGTGCGCACGCCACAGACCAAAACTTAAAATAAACACAAATATATTACAACTAGCATAATAATTTACAATTTCTCACTGATTTTCAAGGATATATCTCTCTTAGAAATTTGTCCTCCTATTATGGGTGAAGCACACAATTTGCATGTCTCTAAGCATAAAGCCACCTGACCTCATCCTCAATGGGGAAAGTTGGTAAAAGTATGTATGGTCTCAACCAGTAACATTGTCGCTAGAATAGAATTTGGGATTGCATATAACTTTATGAAATATTTGATTAGTTGTTGCAACATGGTTGAGAATTTATGGTGATAGAGATACGTTAATTTCATAGTATTGTACGAAAATTCATCACATATATATATATATATATAATTGATTAGTAGTATTTCGAGTTAAAATGAGTCGAACACGAACGAACGAAATATTTATTCGTGCTCGGCTCATTAACTTAGCAAACATCATGAGTTTTCACAGGGACCAAGTGTTGCTAAGCATGGGCGGTTCACGCAAGTATACGTGACATATCAGTAGTATAGAAAATTGAATTATGTGTATTGATTTCACAGGAAACGAGATGAACTCAATTTGGAAAAGTTATGTCATACAGTTTTCAGTCCAAGCCTAAAATGTTGATGATTCAAAATTTAATTGAACAAATCCTAATTTTAAAAGTGAACAAAACCTAAGGTTTAAACCAACGAAAATCGAGAGACGTTGATTCAAGAAATGTCAAATTTTCCTTTGAAGTGGTTATGTAGGGATTCAATCTAGCAAATTATTCAAAAGTGTCAAACAGGAGAAAAATATTTCTTATCTCCTTTCGATCGTCTAAGAAAGATTGACGATTCATTTGTTTAGTTCCCTAAATCAAATGAAAAATCCCAAATAATCTCACTCCCTAATCAGTTTGCACAAATTCAAAAGAGATATTCCTATTCCAATGCCCTCGAGTGGTTAACTTAAGTGTTCCTTAAAGATTTCTTCTCAAATTCTACAATCACGGTTGGTTTTAACAATATAAATTAATATCGAAATTTGGCGTTCCTAAAATTAAGTCTTGCACTATTTCGCCTTTGATTCAATAAGTTTATAATTAAATGAAACGTCTTGATGAGACAAACCAAATGACTCTAAAAATAGTTCTAAATCCGGTTGCATATAGCCAAAATCAAATGTCCTTAATAGAGAACCTCTATGAGCATAAGCTCAATCATTTTGAATTCGTTAAGATACTTAAATAATGAATAAATAATTTATAATTAAAATAAATAATGCAACATAGTTCAATAGAGTATTTTTGACATTTTGACTAAGAAAATAATTTATAATTTTTTTATTATTTTTTCTAAAATGTTATTGTCCAACCACAATGTCATGACTATTGCCACTCAACTTTTCGAGAAAATACTCCGTCAGGACGACCAATCACCAGCGGCCACATCGCCATACACGTCATCGGCAACCGACGTGATTGCGGCGGGTGGGCGGCGGGTCGGATGGAATATTTTTTTCCAACATCTCTCACTCAATCACCATCTCACATTCCATTACTAGTCATAGCAGCGAAAGAGATCAAGTTGTTGTCGTAACAACAATTTTGTATTACAAAATTCTCCAATTAAGTGCAAAAGCACAAAATTTTTTTACCATAAATGTTTATTTATGCATTCTCATGCAAGGTGAGGAGAGAAAATTTTAAAAATATCACAACCCAAAACTAATATTAATGTAAAAAGAATAAATTTTAAATAATATTTTTTTTATTTTGCTATACATGTATGTATAATAAATAAAATACTAAAAATATATTTAATTATTTAATGATATATCATTGTTAAAGTATATTTTAC